CAATATAAGGCAGATACACCATCCAAAGACTTCTTCAGCAGCTATAGAAGGCTTTAAATTCAATGAATAAACTATAAAGCTCGTCTTTATTGATGCAATTGCTATTAAAACTGTGAAAGTCAATCAAGCTTTTCTCAGTCATCTTAACATCAGATAATATTATATCTAAAGCTAAGTGAAGCATCTTTCCAGACATTTATAGGCAAGAAATGTGTATGTGAAACTAGAAGACTAAAAGTTAAATAAAACAAATGATATAAAGTGATTTTATCAGCAGCATTAAACTTTCATCATGTAAATCACGCTTGCTATGCCTAAATCATGATGCATGCTTTGAAATCATCGGGAGTAGATTATAGATGGATAGGTCCAGTGCCACATAATTGCTTTGCTAGTTGCTTTGCTAGCTTAGGCTCGCCCCTTAATGTTCTACATTACTTCTAGTTATTATTATTATTATGGTTGTTGTGGTGATACCAGTTGTATTCTTCCATTAGTTAGTATGAAACTTCAATTTTGTAATTTTTTGATTGGTATATAATTTATTAACTTAAAATTTGGAACATTTCCACATTAAAATATTCTGAAATATTGTGCAGCTAATGAAGTGTTTACTGTCTTCTAATTGTAGTTAATTTTGGTATTTTAAAATAAAACGACTACAATGTAGTATAACCTTGTGGTACGTACATGAACATGATGAACATTATATAGTTACCACCAGTGGACTCTGTCTTGTATGAGGTGATAGATAGGATAAGTATTAATACAAGTCTCTTTGTGTCGACCGTCTAGTGTGAGTCTCTTTATATTATTATTATCCATTAGTGACTGGAGGATGAGTAGTATTGACTCAGTAGACAATGAAGTCTTCCTTAGATTCAGTTTAACTAGTGATGAGTTATTGAGGAGGAGCTCAAAAAGAGACAGTCCACTAGTAGAAGTGATGAGAGGATTACGATAAAGATCTAATGAGGTAAGTGTAGAGTTGTGTTCAAGTGCTTGACAGATATTAGTAACTCCTCTATCACTAATGGAGTGGTAATTGATGACTAGTTCTTGTATTGTTTTATTATTAGTTAGTAGTATACACAAGTACTGGATACAATCATTAGTTAACGGAGTGCGGTATATCTCAAGTGCCCTCAGGTTTAGTGTATGCAGTTTAGTTGATGATAGTAGAGATACTGTACTATTAGTAGATGAGTAGTTGAGTCTAATCACCTCATGATTATTATTAATATTACTAATCACTTCATTACACTGAACTGGAGATGAATACTCAAGGGATACAAAGTTACTGTCCCAGTTCACTCTCCCAGTGACTCCTAATATAAACCAAAGGATTATACTTATATACATGTATGTACATAATAATACACATATTCACATCATGTGTATATACAAACACACACAACTTGCTAGTTGTCACTACAACCAATAAACAAATACACACACACAATACATATGTACATACATACACACATGTAATGTGTACATATGTAGGGACAGGAATATAATGTATAAAATTACATGTACATTGTACATGCTACATACACAAGTATGCATGTACACATGACATTACATGTTCATCAATAATTATACTGACTGTCACAATAATCACAAATATTACCTTTATCATGTTGTTTCTTGTCTTGTCTCAGTGCAGATATCATAATAGGATCATCATTAATAGTCTCCAAGAAAAGAGAAGCTTTCTCATCATTACTAGATGAATCATTCCTTATCTTCTGTAGAATAGGAAGGGACACTTCTTCCACTGACAGTATAAACTCTAACAATTGAAGTGACTCCAACATTGAGTAAACACAACTACTAGGAATGTATCCCTCATCACCAAACACCAAGGATCTTCCATACCACTGATGGCCACCACCTCTTTTGTCATATATCTCCAGCTGCTCTCCCTCAGTAAATGATATTTCATCACTATGTCGTGCCTGATAGTCAATACGTGATGTGTAAATAGATTCTGCTGTTGGTGTATCCAGTGATTGTGTACACTGATCCTTCTCTATACAATATATCAATCAGTTAATGATTTAATTACTAACATATCACATACTCTCAACATTTCCCTTTTGAATCATCAGCAGTTGTTCACTAGTTATTGATATATCTTCTTGTAGTAACTCAATCTCTTTCTTATACTCCACTAATGCCTCCTCTCTTCCTGTCATGAGGTAGTATAGACAGATTATACCAGTAGACTCAGTACCTGCTTTCATTAGGAGAGAGGTTCGGAAATACTGAGTCTCTGATTTCTTTGATTTGAATATTTTATTTATCAACTTCCCTCTAGTCACTAGCTTCACTTTCAGTTTAGACTCTACAGTAATGACACAATGAGAATTTTAATTTATAAGATAATTGTACTGATTGTTCAAATGATTATCAACTCCACATTACTTTAATACATGCTTTAAGTTAGTACTATACCTGGTGTCTCTAGTCTCCTTTCAATATACTCTATACAAGTAAAAATACATTAATAAAATATCTTCATCATTCACTAACTATACCTTTTCTTTTTTTGATGATATTCAGTTGTTTATCTTGTTCAAATATTGATCCTATACCATTAGTATAAGTAACATCAGTAATTGAGTAATGGATCAACTATCACACCTTCTTTGTAATCAAGTAAAGTCCTCAGCTCTTGTTCCTCTCCATCAGCTAGTTTAATCTCCTCTGCAAAACATTCATTATTCATTACCTATAATCAGTACATAATATTAAACAAGGTCTCATACAGTTACAGTATCTTATACTTTGAATCTCATCCTTTTATCATAGCCAGTGTAGTGGCCAATGGTTAGTCTAATTAAACTGAATTCCTTTATCAAGACAGTTAGGTTGTCTTGTGC